AAATTAAATTTTAATTCTTTTTAAATAATTTTCTTTTTTTTTAAACCTTTATTCAGCCAGATGGTCCCATTGAGATCATCGATCTGTTTTTCAAGGGAGACCTGTTACAACATGAACATAAAACAACAGATAACACAAAAGGACATCGTATTTACAGGGCTACATGTACATACCTAGAGACATTGACAAGTACCAACAGTATATTTATATCTCGACCTGTCAATAAGCCTCACCTTCTTGGCCAAAACTGTATTGTTTTTGAAGTGGTGGAGAGACAATGCACAGTTTGACCCACTGCTGTCACCCATGGCCAAAGCATATCTCTCTGTCCCAGCAACATCAGTACCAAGCAAGAGAGTTTTTTCCACAGCAGGGGATATTGTAAACGCCCAAACATCCCAGCTTCTACCTGGAAATGTGGACATGCTCATATTCCTAAAAGATAACCTTGATGATGCTGAGTGAGTGAGTGAGTTAGAGTTGAGTTACTTGAAAAACTAAAGTGAAACTTGATTTATTCTATTGCAGGGTCTGATTATTATATTGTTGAAACTTTAAAATACTATTTTCCTACTAAAATACTGTACAAATAAGATTTATTATTTTAATAAAGAAAAAAAAAAAAAAGTTAAAAAAAAAAGAAGTAAATATCGTACCGTGGACTTTTTATCGCGATATTATCGTACCGTGAGTTTTTGGTATCGTTACATCCCTAATAAATAGTAGTTATTTTGTTTACTGATGCCTAGTTATCTAATCTACTGGGCCCAGGAGTTAAAAACTTTTAATCTCAATCAGATCCGATCCCATTTTGAAATCCCATTTTTTGTGATCCAGGATAAGACAAATCGGCCAGATTTTGTCCCTGGAGTTCAAAGAAATTCAGGATAGGATCACCCTGATCCAGATTACGACTTTTCAAGATGACTAGATCCTGAATATCAGTGCTTTAATCCTACCGATCGCCATCTAGTGGACATGAAAAATAATACAAGGAAGACAAGAGACCACATTGCAGAGACATCTATAATGTTTAATTATATTTTTTTATTTGAAAGGTGATGACAGATGATGGACTTTTTTTTGTTGAAGATATTTTTACTTTCATCTAAATTACATTTGTGATTGACAATCTTTGCTGTGATACTTTTATGAGCATAAACATTTATGTCATCAACATTTGGTTGAAAACAAAATAGGCCACCACAAACGCGATCAAAAATGGAAAAAATAAAATGTATTTCCCATGAAGGCTAAAAATTGTGTATTATTTCAGTTAACAAACTTTGCCATCTAATTTAAATTGAAACATATTTTAAAATAAATGGTACAGTACATTTTGCTCTGGTAATCCACTGGAAATCCACCCCTTTGGTTGGATCAGGATAATCCAGTTTTATGGGATCAAACTGATCCCAATCCTGTGTGGTCGGTTTGAACTACCCGTTTTGAAGATTTGATCCAGATTAAAGCTTGGATTGGATTTCCTGATCTGATCGGATATGAAAGTGATCCTAATCCGTTTTTTTGGTTTTGAACTCCCCAAAATCCAAATCTGATTTGATCTGATTGAGATTAAAAATGTTGAACTCCTGGTGATGAATGCGTGGATTATACACGGAGGGAATAACAAAATGCTAATTTGGGGATGAATGTCATGACAAAATACTCACATTTTATCGATTTTTGGTAAGGAATAATATTCTACTTCAAAATAATTGACACTTGCATCAAACACAGCAATTTATAAAACCTTTTGAACTTTTAAAAAAGTCACTTTCTTTGTAATTTGGTTCCTCAGGGTCCAATTGCAGTAAGGATGGCAAAACTGGCGATCAACCAGGGGATAGAGGTAAGTCTCAGAGGTCTCTCTCACATGGCCTGAAAATATTTGTTGAATTGGTTGTGCTAAAATGTGGCTGTATTAATACGTTGAGCATGTGATTACTGGCTTTGTACTTGGTATTTAAGTATAGCTTGTTGTGTTTATTGTAAGACCTTAGAAAGTCAGCGGGCTCTTTGCAGGAACAGTCATGCATGTTAAAGCTCTGTTGTGAAAATGAAGCCAAAGCATTGGGGAATCCTGTAAATCTCCCCCTACCTGCTGCAGCCACCCTGCCATGTTACTCCCCCCCCGCTACCCTTTTTAATATGATGTCGTAATAATCTCACCTCATTCTTTTGGGAGCCCGAGTTAAAAAATGAAGACGTGAGAAGAGAAGAATACTATTGAGCTGCAGTGTGAACATTCACTAAGAGATGCCACTCTCTTTCAGGTGGATTTATTAACAGGCCTCGCCATTGAAGAAGCATGCTACGCCCAGGTGAGTAATACACAATAATATACCATGCTGTATGAAGTATTCATTTGGTTCCAGCCTCACTCTGCATCGGCCAATCAGCTCGCTACACCCTCACTGAAAACACACACACAGAAAAAAGTTTTTTTTTATTCTGTCACAAAATAAAATCCCACCTGTTTAGCTTGTACCCAGGTCTTAAAATAAAAAATATAATAATGACATCAGGATATTTCAAATTTATGCACCAACACTTACAATGGTCTTATTTGAAGCAAAATCGTGGTCATTTGTTGAAATGTGTTGTATTCTACTGTCAGGGGCTTTTTGTATTTAGTCTACCATCATCAGTATAAAATATAAGAACACTGAGTGCAGGGACTCTCCCAGAATTGGAAAAAATGTTTCCGAGCTGCGTTTTTGTCATACTTACACATGTGTTGTCTTTAAGGTGATCCCCACTAAAGACCGTCTGGAGGGTCTGGCTGCCTTCAGAGAGAAGAGGCGTCCTCAATTCAAGGGCGAGTGAAGCCTCTCTGCCTCCAGAACGAACACAAAGTGCTGCATCCGGATCTCCTCCTACTCCACTGCTTCCAACACATTTATGGGTGAACCTGTCAACACATTAGCCTGTGCAGGACCCAGAGACTGCCTGCAGGGCATCAGCGGCCCTCCAGGGGTCCTTCGGGGGCCCCTCCTGGTTCCTGATCCATGGCTCAGGTGTAACGCTGGGTGTGTCCAATACAACCAGGCAAACTAACCAATCATTGGCCCCTGCTCACAAAACTTACCCAACTAATCCAAAACATGACTTCATACGGTTATTCCTCTGTGCACTGTGACGGACAGGTGGTCCCTAACCTCTCTGAATAATGAACCAATTAAAGAGCCATTTACATTTCTAGGTTATTGATTTTTTTACTTAAATAGAAATGTATAACTGTGTTCAAAACACTATATAACACCACAGGTGTCTGCATGAAATATAACTAACTTCAACTCTGTCCAGATGGAGCAATATAGGATTTGCAATGTTTGGATTTCTTTAGTGCCTGTTGCTGTAGTAACAAAAAACCCAGTGTGACCCATGATGCATTGGCTGAAAATGAAAGGTGTTTATATATATATCACTGACACATGGGCCTAGTGTGTAGTACTAATGAGTTGGTTAGAAATAATTCAGATGATTGGTTAATAATTCAAACTTAGCTATCAGTCTGTGACAGAAACCCGAAATGTTGGTTATCCTAAATATGACACATGATACTACTTTGGAAAATAAGTACGATTTAAAAAGCTCCAGGTCCACCGACACACTGTGAGCTGTGTAAGCTGCTCTTTCAATGGATGAATGGATGCTTGTACTGATATAATCTGCATTACATCTGGTTTAAAACCCTGGAGAAAGCTAGTTAGTGGACCTTGAGATTTTTTCCCCAAGACATATTTTATATTCTTGTTATTTTAAGAGTCAACTTATTTTATGAAAGTGTCGATGAATGAATCAGCCTCTGTGTAGATGATATAATGTGATGTAAATAAAACTTGTCACACTGAAATCATTCTCATTTGTATGTTTTTGAGCGACATAATGACTTGATGACATGAGATTGGCAACACATTATTTTGGGACTTGTTGTGATTTAAATCCCTCACATTAAATAAACAGAAAGAAGATGGTGGAAACGGATAACTGAGCACTTTTAAAGCAATAGAATTACGGATGTTTAATTATAAGGGATGTCGATTTAGTATTGAAGTTCAAGCCTGAATCGTAAGTTAATGTTTTTAAGTAGAAAAAGAACATTGTGTTGGAAACTGACAATTCACTATCACTGGATTTAAATGTCCTTCACACAGACGTCGATGTTTCCCCAGCTCACATCATCCTTAACCTCAAATCAAAACACACACACACACACACACACACACACTGATAACACTTAATGCATCAATAATTATAAAACATATATATATTATTCTGAAATGGACCAATCTGCACAATGACTACTTTTACTGTTGGTATTGGTATTTTTCTACTTTTAGTTGAGGAACATTTTGAATGCAGGACTTTTAGCTGTAACAGAGTATTCCTACACTCTGGTACTTCTACTTGTACTCAAGTACAAGCTCTGAGTACTTCTTCCACCTCTGTCCACAATGTATTCTTAGACCTTCATAAAACTGGGAGACTATGGCCGTGTTCGGCCATCTGTTCTCTTGTGCTGTGTAGAATAACCCTCATGTTATCCATGTGCTGTAGTGGTTCAGCTGTGTCCTTAAAGTTGAGGTGAAACCAGTGAAACGTTTGATTTCCTTTTGGAGATTTGTTGGAAAATCAACCATACAACAATTTCCGGTTATACAGAGGCTGAAGTCAAATCATGTATGAGACTGGTTTGTCCAAACTCCAGACCTTCTGTCCTGACGTGGAAATCATTTTATGCAGCATCTCCATATAATCATCTTTAAAGAGTTTATAGTGTGTAATGTATAAACATACATGTACGTATGCATTGATCGATACTGCGTATGCAAACCTGAATTGATTTTTGTTTCGTGAGATGGATCATAATTATCATAATCAATTTATCCAATGCATGTAGGATGAAAGATTGCCAACCAGCGAGGCACTTCAAATGCATTTGGGTTATGATATATAATATGGTATGCAGAAGGTGTGTGTATGCATGTGTGTGTGGTGTGTGTGTGTGTGTGTGTGTGTGTGTGTGTGTGTGTGTGTGTGTGTGTGTGAGAGCAGACTGTTGAGGCCCTGGCCGGCGGTTGCGTGCAGGCGGGCCCTGTGGCTTCGTGCTGCTGCTGCACACAACCTGACTTCAGGCTGCACATCACCACTGTGGCTGGCCTCCTTCCGGCAGATGTCCCAGCACTAAGCCGGGGGGAATCCCACCACAAGCCAAGGTTGCGTAAAGAAAGACCGGTTCCCCAATACTTGGAGGCCAGAACCCCAGCCGCTTCTCATGGGAAACGTCCGAGGTGTAACTGAAACGGCAATCCTTCGCAGAATGAAGTTTGTCTGTTTTTGAAGGAACCGTTTCTGTTACCGCAGGTCAGCCCTGTCTGGGACATGCACAGTTTCAGTTTGAACTCTTTCTCAACGGGTTGTTTGGGATGGAAAACAGAAATGGAGCTGATCCCAAACAGGATATATTGTATATTTTGGAGCACGCACGTTGTTGTACAAACTACTTTGACATAGAGAGAAGTGCGTTATTCTCAGTGATGCGTAAAAACCTCACATTCATTGACCCAGCACCACATTTAGACATGACAGTATGACAGTGAGCCTGCATTCATTTCATATATTATATTACACCTGTGCTTCACCTAATGGAATATTTACAAATGCGTTCAGTAAAAAAAAAGGCCTTTTGTTTTGGCCTAGAGGTAGAAATCTCAGTCAAGTATGTCAAACCTGGAGAAATAAACCACATGTATCAAGATTAAACTCAATGGACTTTGATAAAGCGTTTGCGCGAAGGAGTTTTATTTCACCATTAACACACACACATTCCTACACTGATGGTAGAGGCTATCACACAAGCTAGCCTCTACATTAGCATTCCCACACACACATACACTCTTGTCTATTCCATCACGAGCCAATTTGGGGTTCAGTATCTTGTACAAGGACACTGCACAAGAGGTTTACCTGAGTAGGAAAAACAATAACATTTTTGACAGGTTGTATAGGTTTAAAATAGTACATTCATTGCTTTGTTGTAATAACGTGTTATTCAAATGTTTTTATAAAAGCTAATGAGTTCCTCACTTTCCAATAAGCAAAACAACAAAAATGAGTAAGTCATCTCCAATTATTTTCCAATCATTAAGAAAGTGTGCCATTATTATTACAGAAGGTCAGAGGTCAGATGGTGTACCTGATGAACTAAAGAGCTAAATTACAAAGCATGTGTCATGACCGGAGAGCAGAGCCCTGCATCGGGTCGGGTACCCGACGGGTGACCCGCAAAAAAAGTTATTCGCGGATGGTATTTTTTCAAACGCTTTTTTCCAGGTTCGGTTCTGGGTAAAACAAAGATGATGCGGGTCGGGTCGCGGGTGTTGCATAATAAATATATTAAAATAATAATAATTTAGTTTAATGTTTAAATCCTCAGACCTCTCCTCCGCGGGACCGCGCATAATCATAACCTCTACACCGCATCAATCTGCTGCTGAGGGCGCCACATTTTAAATGGCTGAGGTTAAGCTCTCTAGCGGAGAATAGGCTACAGCATTTTCAATAACACTTCCTCAAGAGCGAAATCCAACGTCTGGGAGGCTTTTGGTAACATCCTGATAATAACAAACATCCCACGCTTTTTGAGACAAATATGCAACTGCGTGTGTTAATAATTGCACGTTTTCACTGCTCATATATGCGGGTTCGGGTCGGGTTGCGGAACTAATTGGCAATATGTGCGGGTAGCGGGGCGGGTTCGGTATTGCACGTCGCGGGTGCGGGGCGGGAGCGGTTCTTGAAAATCAGACCCGTGCAGGACTCTGCCGGAGAGATGTTTTACAAGTATACAATCCAATATATATATTTTCTATAAAGCATCCGTAAGGGCGGGTTTATTAAATACACTCTTTGGTTTTCTAAACAGTGATGCAGACCACATGAAATATGATGCTCCTCCATGACATGAGTGATGCAAAAAACCAAAGAGGTGCAGCAATGCTAAACATTGTTTTCATATTCAGAATACATTAAAAAAAATTAAGGCTACTAGTCATGTGACATTCAGAATAAACCAGGCATAACAAAAACATTGGCACATTTTTGGGATTTTACATCCAATTCATTTATTATATCACATTATTGCCAGTTAAATGCTGCTTTACTTTAAGTCGGTGGCTTGGACAATATCCCAGATTTGGGTAACATTTCATTTTAATTGCTCTCCATAAGTAACACACAAATGTGTCTACAGAGGATTTAAAAAGGGTAAAGAGTGCTTCAATTATTCAACCTTAAAAATGTTATTAAAACGAAATAAAAGGAGACAATGTGGCCAAAGTGTTTTACTTGTTTGTATTGTGTTTTGAGGTCAGTTTTTCGTCATGTTGCATATTTTAAAGATATGTAATACTGTAGATAATGGCATTACTTATTGGAGCATCATGGAACTTTATTCTTATTTTTATCATACAATAACTTAAAATCTGCCTGCTCATGTCAACTGTCTCTAATAAAAAAATATCTGTTACTAAACTTTACTTTGATTTCGAAGAGCTATCACATTTTTTCTTGGTTTCTTCGATCAAGCTGAGGCCATGGCACTCAAAGCACTCAGAGCTAAATATAAAAGAGACTCTGCTGCCACCTGCAGGTTTAAACAACTCATCACAAAACAAATATCTGACTGAGTTGTATCCAAATTATCTACCAATAAGGACACAGAGCATGTGTATTCTTTATATTCTAAAAGTAGAAGGAATTATTCACATTAAACTCAGATTCAAAATCAGATTATAATAACGCCCTTCTTCAGAGTAAAGTAATTAAAAGTTCTGCAAACCAAATCCTACTTAAAGGTGGGGTCATTTGGAGAAACCAGCTGGAGTGCGCTAGAATTTCAAAATACACAGCCGGAAAAAATCTGCCACTTCCTTACAGAGCCCCTCCTTCATTGCTATCGGGATGTTAAGAGCATTCCATGGAATATGACATCAAGTGTTTCTGAAGTGAATTACCTACCCCACCTTTAAAATACCAAGAGTAAAAGTATGTTTTATGCATTTTAAAACGGTGAAACTGTCACCATAAATAGAGGAATTCAAATGAGCCGCAGGCCACAATATCGCTGACCCACACCACCCTGACTGGATTTGTTATTGACAGGATGTAGAAGTTTCTTCACTTCTTAATCCAAGATGTTTGTTGGTGTAGAAATGCAGGAAGTTTGTTTAGATTCAAATGTATTTTTCCCGGTTTTGTGGTCATTCAGTCAGACAACTCACGTGTTTCTTAAAATGTTTATTAGAAGCAGCATATAGTTCGAGTTTGGCTTCTAGGCTCGGGCCTCATCACTACACAGATTTACAAACAACATTGAGTGATGATTAGATAACTATCCCCCGAGCCTACAGGTGGAAGCTGGGTGGAAGCTGGGGTGGTGGGGCAGGCGAGCAGCAGCAACATGAAACACAGCAGCAGGAACATGAACGTAGCAATTGAAGAGAGCAGCAGCAGCAGCATAGCGAGGCAGAGGCAGGAAGACCTGGTAGCTTAAATAGAGCGGCATGTTTAGGAGAATGTGTTTGGCTGGTTGTAAGAGGGACGAGGTGCGTCACGTGTTAATGTATGATTGGTGCTCGAGTTGACTGCCTGAACTAGCTCGCAGGCTTCGCCCCATTTATGTGAAATATGTTGATCTATTCATACTTCTTTCTGCCTGGTAACCCATGATAAGCAAATCAAATCAAAATGTATTGTAGGCTACTGTATGTTCAGAGAGTTGCTGAGAATCTCTCGCTGTCCAGCTCTTATCTAAATTATTTTGGCATGTTATCAATCAGGATTGTGTCTAGC